GTATGGAGCTTCCTCAAAAATTAAAAATAGAACTACCGTATGATCCAGCAATTTCACCTCTGGGTATTTATCCAAAGAAAATGAAAACAGTAACTTGAAGAGATACCTACAGCCCCATGTTGATAGCAGCATTATTTGCAATAGCCAAGACACGGAAACAACTTAAGTGTCCATTGATGGATGAATGGATAAAGAAACTGTGTGTGTGTGTGTGTGTATACAAACCAAGGATTATTATTCAGCCATAAAAAAGAATGTAATCTTGCCATTTGTGATAACATAGATGGACCTTGAAGGCATTATGGTAAGTGAAATAAGTCAGACAGACAAAGACAAATACCATACGATCTCACTTATACATGGAATCAAAAAAAACCAAGCTCATAGATACAGAGAAGGGACTGGTGGTTGCCAGAGGCCATGGGTGGCAGGGGGAGGGCGGTAAGGGGTGAAGGGAGTCAAAAGGTACCAACTTCCAGTTATAAGATAAATAAGTCATAGGGATGTAATGTACATCATGGTGACTATATTTAATAATATCCTATTATATATTTGAAAGTTAAGAGAATAGATCTTAAAAGTTATTACAAGAAAAAAAATTCTGTAACTATGTATGGAGACAGATGTTAACTAGACTTATTGTGGTGATCATTTTGCAATATATACACATATTGAATCATTACATTGTATACCCGAAACTAATGTAATGTTGTATGTCAATTACATCTCAATTTTAAAAATCTATATCAGAAGAGTACCTTTTAAAAATTCCTAAGTGGCTATAAACTGGAAAAAAAAAAACCTATTAACTTTTGAGTTTAAAAGAAAATCATAACAAATATTTGAAACATTCATAATCTAAAATTTATGACACCTAGGTATAGCAATAGTTATAGAAGTAAACTTACTTTAAATATGTTCATCAGAAAACAATCTAGACTGAAAACAAAGGAGCTAAGCATTGGTATCAATAAAGATCAGGGAAAGAGTAAATCCGAAGAAGCAGCAAAGAAATTATAAAGGGCAGGAATGAGCAAAAGATACAAAAAATAGAGATAATGAACAAAACAAAAGCTGTTTCTTTGAAAAATAAAATAGATGAATCTTTGGCAATACTGATCATGGAGAAAAAAGAAAATGCAAATAAATAAAATACACAATGAAAAAGACACTAGACATGACAAATTTTAAAAATAAAATATTATAAATATGTGCCAATAAATTTTAAAACTTAGACAAAATGGATAAATTTGTAGAATATAATCAAATGCCAAATATGGTACAGAGAGAAAAATAAAACCAAAATATCTAATTTCCACTGAAGAGACTTAAGTGTAATCAATGACTTCCCTCTGGAAGAGGCTCAAGGAGACATCTACATGGTTTCATAGATGAGATCTCTCAAACTTTCAAAGAACAGACATCCTCTATTTTATACAACTTGTTCCATCAAACAGAAGAAAAGGGGGAGGGGAGAAAAAATACTTAAATCATTTAATGAGGTCAGTGTTCTCTTGATTGCAAAATTAAGCAAAAATGGTACAAAGAATTTTAAGCACTTTTCACTTATGAGCACACCTGCACATATACCAGATAAAATATGATCCAATCAAATCAAACAATGCATTGGAAAAAAATCATCAATTTAAGTTTACAACACAAGGATGGTTTAACATTAGAAAATCTATACTATCAATGCAACTCAGCACATTAATGAACTTAAGGAGAAATCACATTGCAACAGTTGTAGAAATACCCTGATAAAGTTCAATGTCTATTTATGTTTTCTTTAATCTCAAAAAACTTGATAAAGGATACGTACCAAGAATCCATGGAAAACTTCAATGCAATACATTACTTTTAAGACTGAGAAAAATTTAAGATTTCCTACTATCACTGATATCGAATCATGAAGAGCCCTGTATGCCTTCTAAGCAATTTGAACTTATGCAGGCATTAAAGAATATTAAGCAAGAGAATGACACAATCTACTTTGAGGATGAGAAAGATCACTCTTGTGGCACCAGGGAAGACGGATTGGGAAGGGAAAGTCTAGTGACATGGTGACCCGCAGAGGGTATTCCAATCATCAAGGTGAGAAGAGTAACAAAGGTGCTGTCGAGTCCCAAGGATGTAAGAGAGATCAGGAAGTAGAACTGAAAGGATTTGCTAATACGTCTGACACCCAGATTTGAGGAGTAGGTGAGGGAGATGGATTATGATTAAGTGAGCTCTTGGTTCAGATGGTTTTAGTTCGGATGGACTGATGCCAGACATAGATACTAAAAAGCGTGCAAATGCAAGCCCCAAAGAAACAGAGTGTCTTTTGGAAATGTTGAAATTGAACTCTTTATATAACATAAAGGTGGGCTGTCTAACAATCATTTGGAAATAGAGATTTAGTGCTCAGAGCAGTTTGGTCCAAAAATATATGCTTAGAAGTCATCACTGAAAGGCAATAGCTGAAGCCACTGGAGAACTGAAGAGGAAGAAAGTGAGACAGCCAAACAGGGAAGTCTGACACAGCCCTTCAGGACAAGGAAGGAGAAAGGGAAGGAAGGGTTAGGCAGGAAAAGGATGGCAGGGCAGAACTCAAGGTAGGAGAGGGTTTTACATGTTGCAGAGACCAAGCAACCAAAGACTGAAAAGTACCTATTCGACTTGCATATTAAGAAATCCCTGTTAATCTTAATGAGAACAGATCCACTGACTAGTGGAGGCAGTAACTCCACTGCATCAGGCTGAGAGGGAGATGGGAAATGGGGAGGAGTGGGGCTGATCGGTCAAGAAGCTCCAGATGTGAAGGAAAAGTAATGCAAAGGCCAGTATCTAGCGAGGATTTTTTTTGTGTGTGTGTGAGGAGATCAACCCTGAGCTAACATCTGCCAATCCTCCTCTTTTTTTGTTGAGGAAGACTGGCCCTGGGCTAACATCCATGCCCATCTTCCTCTACTTTATATGGGACGCCGCTGCAGCATGGCTCGACAAGCAGTGCGTCGGTGCGCGCCCGGGATCCCAAATGGCAACCCCCAGCCGCAGGAGCAGAGCGCGTGCACTTAACCACTTGCGCCACCGGGCCGGCCCCTCTAGCAAGGATTTTTAAAGGAAAAGATTTAAGCATATTTATAAGTAGATGGGATGGAGCTAGTGGAGCAACAAGTGAAAATAAGTAGAAAGGTGAGCATCAAGACCCTTGAGGACAGGGAACACGGTTATGAGCCCCTGCTTTGGCAGGAGGAGGCACAGCTCTTCCTCCAAGAGAGCAGAGATCTTCATCTGCTTTGTTCCCTGATGAGTCCTAAACGTCTCTAACATACCTAGCATGTGGTAGGGACCCACTAAGTATTTGGGGAATGAATGCTATTGGAGAGAAAAGAAAGTAAAACATGGAGGCACATTTGCCAGGGGAGTATGAGAAAAGTTGAATGGATGAGTCCAGCACATGGCCTTCATATTTCTATAAAGTAGGAGCTGTGATCCTCTGATAGAAAGAAGGACCAAGGCAGGAATACAAGGAAGGTTGGAGACAGCTGCTACAGAAAATGGAAAAGAGCAGCTGATGAGAGATGAGCTCAAGTTTTGCTGGGCGACCAGCTATAAATGTATGTCATACATTGACATTTGTAGTGGCATCAAGACATCTAGTTGGTTTTCTCCAAGAGGACACAGTGCCCTGGCTGCAGGAGTAGATGACTGGATGGATTCAGAAGCGTAAACTCAGCAAATCCAACAGAGACAACCCAACCAGAGGCAGTGAAACTGAGAGGGAAAGAAATGCTGAAGGCATGAACTAAGAAAGCAAGGATATGAGAACAACAGAAGAACCCGAGAGGGGAAGGACAAACTAAGAAAAAAGAGAGAAGGGATCCAGGACCAGAGGTGAGGTCCAAGAATGAGAGGAGGAGCCACATGATAGGAGAGTAGAGCACTGACGGCCATCTCCTACCTGTTCCTCTCTCCCCTCATTGCCTCTCTCCAGATCATCCACAAACTGCTCCCAGACCACTCTCTTGATGGCTGAACTCTGATCCTGTCACAACCTTGTTTACACACTTTATAAAGTCCCCACTGCTGATCAACTTCCATCTAAATTCTTTGAGTCCTCAACAGTTGTCCCTGCTTTGGCATCGACCTACCGTTTCACCATACATCCCTTTATATACTCAGTCCACCTGGACCACCTACCACTCCTCAGGCATGCAAATTCATCTCGTTCCACTTTGATGGGTTTTGTTGCAGCTAGAATGTGACCACTCACTCTCTCTCCTTAGGGTTGCCAGATTTAGCAAGCAAAATATAGGATGCCCAGTTAAATTTGGGTTTCAGATAAACAATGAATAATTTTTCAATATATGTCATGAAAAATCGGCATTTATCTGGCAATCCTATCCTCCACCAATCAACACATTTCAAAATCACAATTTAACGTCACACTTAAACGTCACCTTTGTCGTGAAGTCTTCCCTGACCCCTTCAAAAGTGTATTTCTGCTTTCGTTCAATCAACAATGATTTACTGTGCTAAGTACTAGGAGTAAAACTGTGCAGAGGGAATAGTGTCTATCTGTGAGGAACTTCCAGAGTAGCAAAGTCGAGAGAGGAGAAAGTAGATGGTTGCAGCGAAGAAGTAAAACGTGCCACGTGTGCAAAAGCAAGGCACACATCTTCCTCTGCTTGTCCTACGGGTACGTACGAACACTTTTTGAAAAAAGAGACATGTTACACTCAAAACTTAGAACAGGAACTCAAACGTTTCTTGGACAAATGAAATTCCTCCCAAAAATTTTCATAAGATGAATACACTTTACTAAACACAATTTCTTCTTTTGTAACAGCTCCTGGCTTGATTTGACACAGATAGTATTTAGCCAATTTCTTAAAAACAAGAATGTCTTTACGGAATGGAAATATAACAATGGTCCAGTCAACAATCAAGCAGCTTGAATAAATTAAAATAGTATTAGAATTTTTCTATAGCCAAAAAAAGAAAAACAAACTTACCACACGTTGAGCTGCTATCAATGCTGCTAACGTGCTTCGCCCTGGCGCTCCCGGGGTGCAGAAGGAAACCTGGACTTTGCTCCCCTTGATGGTCATCCCATCAGCTGCGTGCTGAACCTCTTCTGCATGCTCTGCAGTGTTATATTCAACCACCGCAAAGCCACCAACGGAACTACCTTCATCCTGTGCAAGCTGATGTAATACATTTTATTAAAAGGGGAATTCTGATATTTAAGTTAGAAATATTTATTTACCATACATAATTTTCAAATTCAAGAACTAATATATCAGAGCATGATACTGGTGAAAATAATGTATTCTTTCCTCTCTGAAAACAAAAGTTGACTAGTTGCTTAAATGAGTCATTCCTGAAGACAAGAAGATAAACAAGATTCTGTCGTTTCTTTTTAATTCTTTGATTTTCTAATTTATTTTATTTTATTTTTTAATTTTTATTTATTTATTTTTTTTCCCCCCAAAGCCCCAGTAGATAGTTGTATGTCATAGTTGCACATCCTTCTAGTTGCTGTATGTGAGACGCGGCCTCAGCATGGCCCGAGAAGCAGTGCGTCGGTGCACGCCCGGGATCCGAACCCGGGCCGCCAGCAGCGGAGCGCTCGCACTTAACCGCTAAGCCACGGGGCCGGCCCACTAATTTATTTTAAAAGTCAAAGCCCAAATGACAATATTCCTTATATATTAAGAAATATATGTAATTGATAATGTATAGGAAAATATGGGGACACAATAATTAAAAGTTTCTTTAAAATAAATTCACCAGGCCGGCCCTGTGGCTTGGCGGTTAAGTGCGCGCGCTGCAATGCTGGTGGCCCGGGTTCGGATCCCGGGTGCGCATCGAGGCACCACTTCTCCGTCCATCCTGAGGCCGAGTCCCACATACAGCAACTAGAAGGATGTTCAGCTATGACATACAACTATCTACTGGGGCTTTGGGGGGAAAAAATAAAATAAATAAAATCTTTAAAAAAAAATAAATAAATAAATAAATAAATAAATTCACCAGATACATGGACAATGAAACATACCGAACAATTATTTGACCATACATCTATGTAAAAAAAAGTGTGTACTACTCAGACAAGAAAGGTAGGAGGAACCATATTCAACTTTCATTTCAATATTTTAGGCAGATCGCAGGAATTCAGTCAACTATATCAAAGCAAACCTTATTTAGGAAAATTGTACCCCAGGTTTGTTAAAATACCATACGCAAGACAGAGCCTTTATTTCTGAATGTGACCTAAATAAACTCCTGCCATTAGAACTCAATTTATTTCCAGTCACCCACCTGTAAGAGGGAAAAGGAAGATACTAAAGTCCTGGATCTGTAAAGCCCGGTACAAAGAGCAAAAATAAAAACAAAATAAGACACTAAAAAGTTTCTAAGTTTTGAACACGTCTGAATTATCTTAAACACAGTCACGCTATAAAGTGATAAATGAGATAAAATTCAGCTTGGTATGTCTTTGAGAAGACACATTTACACACTTCTATTTAGATTTGGCATCTCATAAGTTGATATTACAATTAAATCATTTCTTAGTCCTTTTTAGTTTCTTTTCTCTCATTTTTGAAGCTTAACTTTCTTCTACTTTCTTTTAGAGTTGGAACAAATTTCTTCCTTCCTTTTAAAACTGTCCTCAAATGTCTTTTCCTCCATAAAACTTTTTCCAATCACATGGAAGAAAGGGAAATTATCTCCCTCTTCCAAACATTTCTCCTACAACCCCATGCCTCTTATAATCCATACCAGATCTTATAGTCAGATTTGTAAAAGCCATTAGTCCCTTTGGTCTCTTTTGACCACAAGGTCTTCAATATAGCCTATGGCAACCTACCAAGCATAAGAGCCTGAATTTAACAGATCCATTGACAAAGGCATCGTCAAGTTGTTTTATTCATCTTTTGAAGACTTTTTTTTGGATAGGAAGATTGGCCCTGAGCTAACATCTGTGCCCATCTTCCTCTACTTTGTGTATGGGATGCCACCACAGCATGGCTTGATGAGCAGTGTGTAGGTCCACGCCCGGCATCTGAACCCGCGAACCCCGGGCCACCAAAGTGCAGTGTGCAAACTTAACCACCATGCCACCGGGCCAGCCCTGAAAACTTTTAAAACATTTTTTATTATTCCTGGTTCATTACAATAACCTTCATGCCTATGTAAAGTACAAAACCATTTTAAGTCCTTCAAAACACAAAATCATCCAAGTCCACAGCATCAGTAGTTTTAGAGAAGAAGATTTCAGTTCAATATGAGAGCCATTCCAGTATATGATGGTCTGACATGATCTAGTTAATTTTCCATTATTTTGAAATATTTTAACTCAAGCTCAATGTTCACTCATAAATATTATAACAAACATTTTTCTACCAGATGGAAAGCTACACTAGATAACCTGTCAGGTCCCTTCCAACTCTGGGATTCATAATTCAGTTACAATTTGTAATAAATGGCTTTTCCCCTCACATTTGCTTCAAAGCCCTCACCTAAAGCTACAAAGAATTATGTATGGCCACAGGATATCACTACACAATTCTTAGCATTCAAGAATAGCATATTGATAAGACAATCAACTTTCAGTGACTGGGCAAGAAGTTGATAAGATTTGTCACAAAATATTCTAATTTTATAAAGTTCTTGGATGCTTATTATGTGGGATTAGAGGAGTGGAAATGTAAGCAAAAGTAAAGCGTTAGCGTTAATCTTAAAAAATATATATGTATATAATGTATACTCCAACTCCAAAATTCCTACTGTCATAGCAGAGACTCAACAGAAGCACGATTAAAGGAAAATAGGAAAAGGTGGAAGAAAAGTGGGAGGTAAGAAGAGAAGGAGCACTGCAGGAGAGAGGAGAAAGGGAAGGAATGAAGGGAGCAAGAGAGAAAGAGTTCACTGGGGTGCTCACAAGAACCTATAAGGGGAGGGGTTATATACACTATATATTTCTCTCTCTAAGTGTCTCACTTACCATGACCCCATTAAGACAGAATTATATGTTCTTTTTAAACCTCATAATACTTTTCCATCTTCCACTACATCACCGTTCATACAGAATTTACAGTTATTTGCTTACTTGTCAGTCTCTTCTACAAAATTGTGAGGTATTGAGAGGGTATCTTTCTATTCTCTGTATTTCTGACGTTGAGCAATATAGTGTCTGGCACAGAGCAGCTGATAAATAAAACTTGGATAGATGAATGGATCAATGGACGAATGGTTTAACGAACGGATGGAAGGAGAAGGTAAATATAGTAAGTGATGGATTTGCTAAGACATACTTAACTATATAACAATATAGTTTGGCCTGTCAACAAAATGAATTGATTTAAAATTTACCATGACATTAAAGTCTTCATTACAGACTAAAGTGGAATTAGATTATCCATTGTGATATCCACATTTGTATAATAAATTTGTGAGTGCACGTAGAATAGATACATATGCAGATATTTTTAAATATTTCAAATGATACATCAAAGATACATACCTGGCAAAACACAGGTTTATGGATACTGGAAAAAAATTGCAACAGCTCCTCTGAATCCCTGTAGTCACTAGGGAGTTTATCTATACAAAGGCACTTAGAATGAATGAGCTCTGCAGCCAGTAGGTTAACATCCATCCACTGTGCAAAGAGAGCTGATGCTCCCAACTGTTTACCCACGAGCTCCAGGCGAGCCTTGGCAGCCGAGTCCTTTTTCATGTACTCCACAAATCCATAGCCTTTGGAGCGGCCGGTAACTTCACTGTAGACGAGAAAACACCTCTCGATATTTCCATAAGCACGAACCAGTTCTTCAAACTCCTCTAGTGTAAAAGAAGGGGGCAAGTTGGTAATACACAGCAAAGCATCTGTTGGCTGGAGCTGGACGGTTAAGTCTTTTCCTCGAAAAGAATATTGATGCAACATCTGGATGGCATTCTGGGCCTGTTCCCCATTCAGTAAGGTAACAAAAGCTGGAAGATGACAAAATGAATTAGAGGGTTTTCTGAGCCAGTGTTTTCTTTTCTTTTTTTTTTTTTTGTGAGGAGATCAGCCCTGTGCTAACATCTGCTAATCCTCCTCTTTTTTTGCTGAGGAAGACGGCCCTGGGCTAACATCTGTGCCCATCTTCCTCCACTTTATATGGGACGCCGCCACAGCATGGCTTGCCAAGCAGTGCGTCGGTGCGCGCCTGGGATCCGAACCAGCGAACCCCGGGCCGCCGCAGCGGAGCGCGCGCACTTAACCGCTTGCGCCACCAGGCCGGGCCCTGAGCCAGTGTTTTCAAACTTTCTTGACTATGACCCACGGTAAGAAATATATTTTATGTCTGTGACTCAGTACACACATACATATACATATTTCTTAAACAAAAGTATCAAAAAGCAATACTCTCACCACGTGCAAGGCACTCAGATTCTCTACTCTATTTCATTGTGCTTTTTAATGCTGATATCCACTGAAACAATTTCATGACCAGTAACTCAAGTAAGAAGTATAGGCAGTATATTAGGAGTTCTAATATAAGATACTACAATATTCCATTTTTTTAAAAATTTTTGTAATCTTTTCAAACTATATACAGATTTTTTTTAAAAATTTTTGTAATCTTTTCAAACTATATACAGATTTGATATTTTTCCCCCAACAACTTGTGATGCAAAATTTATGAAGCCTTAAAACCTTTCTTTCTTCTCAGAGAGTTCTAAAATACCCTGTTTGATAACAAGACCTAAAAAAATCAAAAGAATAGCAAAAAGACACCAAAATGCCCAGAGGAAGCCAGTTCTTTCGCCAATTCATGTATTTGTTTCCTTAAAATTGGATTAATAAGACTGAAACAACACACACACAATTTGGTATACTTTTTGGATGAACAACATGGTATGAAAAAATCAAGCGTTAGGATATTGGACAAGTAGATGAACTTTGAATCTTTGTAAAACATAAAAAAAAAAAAAAAATCTGTCCTATCTACCTAACGAAGTCATTCCGCATCAAACACAAATACATATGACAATTTGTTAATCTAAAACACGATACAAATGTAAGGTTCTCAATCAATGAAATATCACACCAATACATATCCAATAAAACTAAAATCTAGCCATATCAAATTGTTTATCTGTTGTCATAAAAACAAAGAATATAAAGATTTCGAGCAATATTGTAAGAAAAGTTTAAAGCCCCGATTAAAAGAAACAACACAGAGCAACCCACAAATTACAAATAAATTGCTCTTTCAACGTTCCTCCCTCTCCCTCTTCTCTCCCTCTCTGCTTGGAACATACAATGGAGCTGCTCCATATGAACATTTAACTTGCCCAAGTTCAATTATAACAACATGGCAAATACATATATAGCAAGAAAGAAAGAAGAGCTTAAACAGCACGGGCAAAGCTGCCTGTCATCTCACTCAGCCTGCTCTTCCCGAGGTTGGTCTTAGTGTCCATGTGGCTCCCAGGGTGTGAGCATCTCACTACACTGGGTGTGATGCTAACTTTTAGAAACACATTTTTCATTTAACATGGTCTCCACCTATAAGCAAACTACTGCCAAAAGAATAGCTAATTCTTCCAACACTAGAGAAAATAGCTTTGCTGCACTTACTGAGAGAATGCATATCTACTGGTTTCTATCAACCCCTTTTTTAAAGACTTGAGTTATTCTAATTCCATGCCTTTCTTTCCTTACGCAGATATAAAATACCATTTAACTATATTTTCCCCAAACAAGCAAACAAGCCAACAACCTTTCGTAAATCCGGGTTATGCTCCTATATCAGCTCATACACTCGTCAGTTCATATTTGACTTGAATTCTCAGGGCATTTGAAACTGTACACCACTCCACTCCTTAATTCCCTCGATACATTCATCCTGACTCTCCTCCTACCTGTCCAAGCCCTCCTTCCCCCACTTCCTCTGCCAGCTCTTTCTCCTCCACTCATACCTGTATGGTGGCAATCCTTAGGGGCCCTTCTTGGCACTCACAATTCAGAAACCTGGGAGTTACCCCAGACTCTTATCTCCCTCAAATCCCATGTAAAAAGAATCCTCAAATCCTACCCTCCAAACAGGTCATGAATCCACCCTCTTTTCTTCATTCCCCTAGCTTTTTCTGTTTTTAATCCCTTTCCCACAATGACAATAAAGTGATCTCTCAAAAACAGAAGTTTAGTTGTGTCTATTTACTGCCTAAAATGCAATGGTTTAGTACTGCCAAGGAAGCCAAGTCTCAGCTCAGTCATGATGCCCTTCGAGGCCCTTTATGATCTGACTCCAGCCTCATTCATCGTCATGCTTCCCCTCCCCACTACACTTCATTCTCCAACAACACTGAACTGTTTGCAGCTCCCTAGATATCTATATGTTACACGTGCAACTCCCCTGCCTATAGGATCTCTCCCCATATCTTCAGTCACTCCAAACCTTCTAGTTGGCTTTCAAATCCAGCACAGAGATCACTGCACCATGATCTCCAGGAAGCCCCCCCTGACACTCTCTTCTAGTTAGTGTTCCATTCTTTGTTTTATTATAAACCATTTCTTGTTTTATAATACATTTTTTATTGCAGTAACATTGGTTTATAACATTATATAAACTTCAGGTGTACATCATTATATTTCGATTTCTGTATAGATTCATCATGTTCACCACCCAAGGACTAATTACAATCCATCACCACACACATGTGCCTAATCACTCTTTTCACTCTCCTCCCTCCCCTCGTCCCCTCTGGTAACCACCAATCCAATCTCTGTCTCTATGTGTTTGTTGTTGTTTTTATGTTCTATTTATGAGTGAGATCATATGGTATTTGACTTTCTCCCTCTGACTTATTTCACTTAGCATAATACCCTCAAGATCCAACCATGTTGTCACAAATGGCAAGATTTCATCCTTTTGCATAATTGAGTAGTATTCCATTGTGTGTGTGTATATATATATCATATTTTCTTTATCCAGTCGTCCCTTGATAGGCACCTAGGTTGCTTCCAAGGCTTGGCTATTGAGAATAATGCTGCAACGAACACAGGGGTGCATACATCTCTATGCATTTGTGTTTTCATATTCTTTGGATAAACATCCAGCAGTGGAATAGCTGGATCATATGGTAGTTCTATTCTTAATTTTTTGAGGAACCTCCATACTGTTTTCCATAGTGGCTGCACCAGTTTGCACTCCCACCAGCAGTGTATGAGAGTTCCCTTCTCTCCACATCCTCTCCAACACATGTTATTTCTTGTCTTATTAATTATAGCCATTTTGACAGGTGTGAGGTGATATTGCATTGTAGTTTTGATTTGCATTTCCCTGATAGTTAATGATGTTGAACATCTTTTCATGTGCCTGTTGGCCATCTGTATATCTTCTTTGGAGAAATGTCTGTTCAGATCTTTTGCCCATTTTTTAATTGGGTTGTTAGTTTTTTTGTTGTTGAGATGTATGAGGTTCTTTATATATTTTGGATATGAACTTCTTATCAGATATATGGTTTGCAAATATCTTCTCCCAATTGTTAGGTTGCCTTTTCGTTTTGTTAATGGTTTCCTTTGCTGTGCAGAAACCTTTTAGTTTGATGTAGTCCCATTTGTTTATTTTTTCTATTGTTTCCTTTGCACGGTCAGACGTGGTACTTGAAAGCTGCTAAGACGAACATCAAAGAGCGTACTGCCTATGTTTTCTTCTAGAAGTTGCATGGTTTCAGGTCTTACATTCAAGTCTTTAATCTATTTTGAGATAATTTTTGTGTATGGTGTAAGATAATTATCTACTTTCATTCTTTTGCATGTGGCTGTCCAGTTTTCCCAACACCATTTATTGAAGAGACTTTCCTTTCTCCATTGTATGTTCTTGGTTCCCTTGTCAAAAACTAGCTATCCATAGATGTGTGGGTTTATTTCTGAGCTCTTGATTCCGTTCCATTGATCTCTGTGTTTGTTTTTGTGCCAGTACCATGCTGTTTTGGTTACCATAGGTTTGTAGTATATTTTGAAGTCAGGGAGTGTGATACCTCCAGCTTTGTTCTTTTTTCTCAGGATTCCTTTGGCTATTTGGGGTCTTTTGTTGTTTCATATAAATTGTAAGATTCTTTGTTCTATTTCTGTGCAGAATGTCATTGGAACTTTGATAAGGATTGCATTGAATCTGTAGATTGCTTTAGGAACTATGGACATTTTAACTATGTTAATTCTTCCAATCCAAGAGCACGGAATATCTTTCCATTTCTTTGTGTCTTCTTCAATTTCTTTCAACAATGTTTTATAGTCTTCAGTGTGCAGCTCTTTCACCTCTTTGGTTAAGTTTATTCCTAGGTATTTTATTCTTTTTGTTGCAATTAAAATGGGATGGTATTCTTAATTTCTCTTTCTGCTACTTCTTTGTTAGTGTATAGAAATGCAACCGATTTCTGTACATTGATTTTGTATCCTGCAACTTGACCATATTCATTTACTATTTCTAAAAGTTTTTTGGTGGATTCTTTAGGGTTTTCTATATATATGATCATGTCATCTGCAAACAGTCATAGTTTCACTTCTTCCTTTCCAATTTGGATCCTTTTTATTTCTTTTTCTTGCCTGATTGCTCTGGCTAGGACTTCCAATACTATGTTAAATAAAAGTGATGAAAGTGGGCATCCTTTTCTGGTTCCTGTTCTTAAGAGGGATAGCTTTCAGTTTTTTTTTTTTGTTTTTTTTTTTATAATTTTATTTATTTATTTTTCCCCCCAAAGCCCCAGTAGATAGTTGTACGTCATAGCTGCACATCCTTCTAGTTGCTGTATGTGGGACTCGGCCTCAGCATGGCCGGAGAAGCGGCGCGTCAGTGCACACCCGGGATCCGAACCCGGGTCGCCAGCAGCGGAGCGCGCGCACTTAACCGCTAAGCCACGGGGCCGGCCCAGCTTTCAGTTTTTATCCATTGAGAATGATATTAGCTGTGGGTATGTCATCTATGGCCTTTATTACATTG